TCGGTATTTGCCCATGTCACTCACTATTATATTAATGGGTAAAATTATAAAAACAAAACATTATTTGCTTCAATATAATATGGAATTTAATCTAAGATTGACAATAATAAAAATAACTTATCTTATATTTAAGCAGAATATGTTTTTATTATTATTTCAACGTGAATTTTCCCACTAAACAAAAATTGACATTATAAGCTAATTATTTTAGTTTGTCCTTCACACAGTGAGAAAACTTCATTTTCACTTTTATGAGAGGTAAAAAGTTCAATCAACTTTTCCTATGGAGGCTCACCTAATAACACTCTTCTAACTATTTTAATATTAATTTCTTGCCAATTAAACATGAAAAAGTTTAGCATTTTATTAGAAAATCAAAAACGTATAATATTTTTGTATACAATAACTTTTTTAGGGGTCACGTGTAAATTTATATCCATGTGTTTATTATTTTTTATTTTAAATTACAATAAAAGTTATTTTTTTATTTTTTAATCTACTTTATCTACTTATCATATAATTTAAATTTAAAATTTTTTATTTATACTCAAAAATTATTATTAAATTATTTAAATAATATCAATATATACTCATCTAATGCTATGTAAATTATATAAAGTATTGTTAGAGAGAGAAAGTGGTTATATTCTATGTCGTGGGTTCTTATGTGCATGGGTTCCACTTTCGGTCCATGAAACTTATCCAGGCAGTCTACCTTGGGCCCATAAAATTTGCTACCTAAACCTAAAGAGTAATCGGATGTTCTACAAAGCCCAAGAAAACTATTCTCCTGAATTCTGACCCAATTGCTGCAGAGATTTCACAACCTATAGTTTGGGCCACATTGGGAAGTACGAGTTGTATTTTTTAATCGAAACCATATTTTTTTTTGGTTTCCCACCCAGTATTCGAGATTTCGTCTCGATTAATCCGGACCCGACCCACGTCGTGCACTTGGAAATGGTGGGTGAGTCTTCCAGCGGGGACTACTGTGTATACAAGGTCTCGAACTCAAAACCTTACTTAAACTAGAACAAGCCGTTTACCACTTGATCCAACACCTCGTTGGTAATCAAAACCATATTTGATCAAAAGATTTGTAGGCCGTCTGGTTTTCATGATCCGATGGTTTTATGTCCCGTTCAAGGTATTTGAATTAGGGTTTGAATCTCTTACCTCAATTGTAATCTGTTTAAAAGAAAATTGATTTGTAGGCCAAAATTTAGAGGATAAAAAGCAAGCAAAAACTTTTAGCCGTTGATCATAGTCTGGGTTTTACCTTGGTCCACAAGACCAACGGTTGAGATTTTATTGCCTTATATTTTTGCCTCTAATTTTCGTCCTCAAGTCATTGCTAAGAAAAAAGGAAAATTAAAAAAGGACTTCCAAATTTCCAATGCATTGGATAAGTCTAACGCTTCAAATGGAGGTTGACCTACCACAGGGATTGTATACGCTTGATAATAATCTGCATTCTTCATCTTAATTTCTCGGCAAACTACGAACGAATTTATGGTCTTTTGGCACCATTGACTTGCTATCTGACCCAATGCAAACCGTTGTACAAGTTGCTTATTATAATTTGGATAATGGTTTAAATATAATTTTTTTTATAATTTTAAGTATTTTTTATTTATTTAAAATTAGTAATATTAAATACATTTACTCATTAATAACGTATAAAAATTATATAAAAAATAATATTAAAAAATTATCTTTATATTACCCTTCTTATAATTTTTTTTTTAATTGCGTCCAAAGGGTAGTTAAAATGTTAACAATAAAAAACTTTACAAAGAAGTTACAAAATTGTAATTTTAACTTTTAATTTTTTTTTAAAGTAAAACAAAAAAAAAAAAGCTTTTTAAAAATATGAGCAATAAAAAAATTTTATTTTCAGAAACTGAATCCAACGTGCACTTGATGTTATAAGATAACTGAAAAAAAGATGGAATTCCTCATTTGATCATTTCCGGTCTTTGTGTGCATTGCACTGTCTTCGTCAACCCATTCTCATTGCTTTCATCATTTTTGGTTAAGTTATCAACTTGATGGCAATGCGTACGTATTTCTACTTCAATATAAACAATACCTTGCGTCAAATCAAAATCAGATAAAGTCTTCCCCATTAACTAACTATATAAAACCACCACCTGAACTACCCACCCTAGTTAGACTATCAATATGTAATAAAATTGTAGTCTATGTTAAAATTTAATTTTTAATAGAGACAGTTGGTAATATTTTGCCATTTGCTTTAAAAAGCTTTTTTTTTTTTTTTTGGGTTAAAAAAATATATAAACCACCACTTAATTGATACAATCTATATTTAAATTGAGAAAAAATATTATGCAATATAATTTGCATAAATTGTATAATTTTAGTTATTATTAAATAAAGATCTCTAAAAATAGAGAGTCCTCCTTGGCCCAATAAATAATTATTCTTTTAAATCATTATTAATTGAGATTTTCTAAACCTCATTTATTATAGTATTTATAATTAATTTTATATAAATTTTTATATAAGATTTG